TATATATATACACACACACACTCACACATATCTACCTACGTAACATATCTACATATTAGGGGATCAAAATGTATTTTTGGAACTGAATAACAATACTTAATAATTGAACAAAATTATTTTCACCATTTGGGGTCAAAATAATTAATTGATGTTGCACTAGGGCAGTAACAAAACTGTCGAAAGGCGGGTAAAAATGAGGAAGTAACAAAATGTATTTCAATGCTGTGGAGTGATTTGAATACTGTGGGTAATCTGTTGGCCTATCTGTCATATCTTCATAGTGTATATTTTTGTGTTGCCTGTGTGTGTGTGTTGGTGCTTGTGCAGGTGACTCCAGGTGTTTCCTGTTCTCTGTGTTCCCCAGACTGAGAGTTCATACAGCTACAGGTTACAACCAACACTTTATGTACCTCAACCAGAAGCAGCAGACCATGCCCAACGGACTGGTGAGACAAAACTTTGACGGCGCATCCTTTACTGTAACTTAATTTGAGCTAAAATATTAAATGTACCCTTAGTTTATTAGAACGTACACGTACAGTATCTATTGTTAGCTAAACATGCTTAACTGTACAAAGTAGACAAGCACAAGTGGTCAGATTTGAATTACAAAGTATTGTTTGCTCTTTATAGAGTGAGGGTAATGTTCAAACTTTAAATAAAAAGCACACCAAACACCCTTCAAGCATGAGGCAGGAGAAGAATGTGATTTTCCCTAAGCGAATCAATAATAACAACAATGGAAGTAATAATAACAGACAAATTATAAAATATAATTATACAGTGATAATCAGTGATCAGAAAAGTATGAGTCCCATTATGCATTTAGAGAGTCCCAAATTTCGAATTCTGAAATGGTCACTTCTTCAATTGCATATGATAATAACACAAACAACAACAATATACATTGATAATAGGTTTATTTCTTATAAACAATTGCTGCAAAATTTTAAATTATTCAGGGATACAAGATTTGCTGAGAAATAGATTCGTATTTCATCCCATGGTTCAGTCTTTGAATTCATAAATTCTCCTCTCTTTACTCTGCTTCCAATGATGCAAGGCTTTCTCAAAGTCACCTTTTTATCGCAAAAAATTATCCAACTTTAGCTGCTGCTTCTGTGATATCTCCGCAATAAAGTTTCACAACACTTGTTCGCAACACTTGTTTTAACGTGACACAACTTGGCAGTCGTCTGCCGATCTCGCCAATCTCGTCTCGCGAGAACGGAAATCTCGTCACGCGAGATTACTTAACGCGAGATCAAAACAACAATAGTGGCGTTTGTCAAACTGCGATCGTTGCTGGAAAACAAGATGTACCGTCGTTTTTTTTTTGTTTATCCTGAGAAATTTCCTTGCGTCCAAAAAACGCACATTATTTGGAACTGTGCGTCCCACGGGAAAATTATGCCTCTAGGACGCGGGACGCAGAGCTAACGAGATGGCTGATTATATATGTACATTACATCAATCTGCAACATTATTATTACACAGTACATAACATGACAGAACATAACATGATGATTTTACAATAAACTACACAAAAAAAAAAAAAAAACAATCGTCATGGTCCATCCATCCATTCATATTCTACCGCTTTTCCAGGGTCGGGTTGCAGAGGCAACAGCTTTAGCAGGGAAGCCCAGACCTCCCTCTCCCCAGCTACTTCTTGCAACTCTTCCCGGGGGATCCCGAAGCGCTCCCAGGCCAGCTGGGAGACATAGTCTCTCCTGCGTGTCCTGGGTCGTCCCCGGGGCCTCCTACCGGTGGGACATGCCCAGGGAGGTGTTCAGGAGGCATCCTCATCTGATGCCCACCTCATCTAACCCTTGACATGTAGGAGAAGTGACTATACTCTGAGCCCCTCCCAGATGCCTGAGCTTCTCACTTTATCCCGAAGGGAGAACCTGAACACCCTGCGGGGGAAACTCATTTCCGCCACTTGCATCCGGCATCTCGTTCTTTGAATCACGACCCATAGCTCATAAACATAGGTGAGGGTAGGAACGTCGATCGACCGGTAAATTGAGACGACAGACAACAGACAGATAGACGGTCGCTGCACCAATCTGCCTGTTGATTTCCCGATTCCTTCTGCCCTCACTGGTGAACAAGACCCCAAGATACCTAAACTCCTCTACTTGGGGCAAGGTCTCATCCCTGACCTGGAGCGAGAGCTCCACCCTTTTCCAACTGAGGACCATTGTTTCAAATTTGGAGGTGCTGATTTTCATCCCAACCACTTCACACTCGGCTGTGAATTGCTCCAGTGGGAGTTGGAGAGCCCTGCTTGAAGAAGCCAACAGCACATCATCATCTGCAAAAAGCAGAGATGCAATACTCGGGCCACTAAGCCGGACACACTCAACGCCTCGGCTGTGCCTAGAAATTCTGTCCATAAAGGTTCTGAACAGAATTGGTGACAAAGGGTAGCCTTGGGCAGAGTCCATCTCTCACTGGTTGATGACTTCAACCCCAGAGATAGGAGAGCCCACCTCAGAGTCCACAGACTCTGCTTCCTCTACGGAAGTAGTGTGGGTGGAGTTGAGGAGGTCTTCAAAGTATTCTGCCCACCGCCTCACAATGTCACGAGTCGAGGTCAGCAGCACCTCATTCCCTCTGTACTGTGTTCATAATGCACGGTTTCCCCCTGAGATGTCGAATGGCGGACCAGAATTTCATTGAGCCCGTCCGAAAGTTGGCTTCCATGGCGCCACCAAATTCTTCCCACGCTTGAGTGTTTGCCTCGGCGACCGCTGACGCTGTGTTCCGCTTGGCCAGCCGGGACCCATCAGCTGCCCCTGAAGTCCCACAGTCCATAAAGGCCTGATAAGCCTCCTTCTTCAGCTTGACTGCTCCCTTACTGAGGGTTTCTAGCAGAATTTAGGGGTCACTGCCACGACAGGCACCAACCACCTTATGGCCACAACTCCGATTGGCCGCGTCAACAACAGAGGCACGGAACATGGTCGCGGACATTGCTGAGCTGGGGGGCAATGAGTATGTGCACACCTTCTCTGTGCCTCTCACCGTGGCAAACTCCAGAGTGGAAGAGAGTCCAACCCCTCTCAAGGAAACTCATACCAGAGCCCAGGCTGAGTGTGGAGGCAAGTCTGACAATATCTGGTCGAAGCACCAGCTCGGTCTCCTTCCCTGCAAGTGAGGTGACATTCCACATCCCTAGAGCTAGCTTCTGTAGCCGAGGATTGGACAGCCAAGGTCCCCGCATTTGTCCGCCGCCCAGCTCACTTTGCACCCAATCCCTATGGCCCCTCCAATAGGTGGGCCCATGTTGCCTCTTCGGGCAGTAGTAATTTTAACCTTACACTGCAAAAATAATTTCCAATAGTGGATCAACTGATACAAAGAAAGTCAAAGTTCTTCTTAGTTATTTTCTACAGTGTCTCTTTATGTGCTCAAACTTGAGTTATGCATCATTATTTTTAAAAGTCCAATTACATTATGTTTTGAAAATGTGTTTTGGTAATTTCTTTACCAGGGCATGGGCGGCCAGCATAGTTACTTTGGGCTGTGGTTGGATAGTGATTTTGGACATGGTCACAGCCGTGCATGGCCAAAATGTACTACCTTTGGAAGCCCTCAACTCTCGGGGGACGAGGACTTTATTTTGGATTCAATGGAAGTATGGGCAGTTGGAAAGCCCCATGAGCCGGAGGAGGTAAGAGCACCCAATTCTCATTATCTCAATTCTCAAGCCATCTTCAGCCTGAAGGCTGTGATGCGCAATTCATATTTTTGTTGAATCCAATCTTTTTAAGTACTCATTCACATTACAGAAAGAAGGTGGGAGGAGGTAGAAATATTTTGGGAATATGAAGTAGCGCTCCTCGACCACCTCACACTGCTACTAAACACGAGGTAACGTAAAAAAAAAAAAGAAAAACAAAAAGAAAAGGAAAAAAAACCCTTCTCCTTGGCTGAATTTCTACTCTCACCACAAATATCTAGTTTATGCTTGATGTTTCAAGTGGGATTAAATAAAGTCAAATGTAAAGACAACAAGTGTTTCTCAAAACAACTCTGCAAATTCATGGACGATGTTATCGTTTCTCAAGCAATCTCAACTACCTGTGCTGAGTGCGTATTGGTCTTTTGATTGATGAATAGGTCGGATGTGTGCAGATGAGCGTTACCCTGTATGTCAATCAAATAACGGGATTGATGATAGGCTGACATCGTAAGTTCTGCTGTACTTAGCGCCGTTGTTTGGATGGCAGCGCCACCACTGAGGCGTTTTCGACGCTTGTCATATGAAAGCCCAGGAGCCGCATTGAACCAGCCAAAGAGCCGCATGCGGCTCGCGAGCCGTGGATTGACAACTCCTGTTCTCGATGAAAGAGGAATCAAAGTGTCCTTTCATCAGTGGATCAGAGACTTTGGATCAGAGAAATTGTGCACACGTCTGCTACCAGCGATGTTTGAAAGTAAACAAGAAGCTCTGGCATCCATTGATGAAAAAATAGATTGGTTCACTTCTCCTGTTCTACTCTGTTCCAAATATGCATCCGAGCTCCGTGCCGACTCTCCCCTCCTCATCCTCGGCTCCACAAGCCATTCATCCAACCGCACCATCCCAGACTGTACAACAGCGCCGACATCTCCACTAAACAAAACTAGGCTGTGAAAAGTGCTGCCCATTATAGGCGCAAAAAATACAAGCTCCCCGGGACTATCGTGGGGCTGATGACCTGTGATGTAGCGTGACTGACGTAATAAAAGCACACTGCAGTGAATGAGTGACTTACCTCATTCACTCCCAAAGACGTATTTAGATGTATTTTCAGACGCCACACAATTAATCACACCTCTTCATTTTATATTGACTGTACTTGAAAAGGGTCTGAAAATGGCTTTCACAATAATGATGTGGCACAACGAATATATAATGACATTTATTGTAAATAAACAGTCAAATTGTGCCAACATTCCTCCCAATCAGAATCAGGGCTGATACACACATGCTGCCGAGGAGGTGCAAGCACCAAACACAGGTTCTTTTTCTTTAACGAATGTCGTGACCAAAAACGCTGAAAGCAGTCCATGTTGGGTCCACACGAAGTAAGAACAAACACCATGTGACAAAACAAAAGACAAAAACAACCCCCCAAAAAATCAGCAAAAAGCAAAGCTCTTGAAGTGCGCTTGCCGTCTGCTGCCAACTAGGACACCATAATGGATTCCAAACTAGGTGTGCACTGATCGATCGGCTGGAAAATTGTGAATGATGCACCCCTACGTATAAGACGATTTGTCTGTTGGAAAAGACACAAATAAGTATACAAGTATACCACATTGTATGCGCATAGTAGATTCATAAATACCTTTTAGTCTATCACACAGATTATTGTGTGGTAGACTCAAAGCTATTATACAGTGATCCCTCGCTTTATCGCGCTTCATTTATCGCGGCTTTACTTCATCACATTTTTTTTTAAGTACTGTATTCAGAAAAAAATGCAGAGTGACTCAGAGGTTTTGGACATGACTGTATGCATAATTGGATTCCTCTCAGTTTCCCTTGCCGCCCTCTGGAGCCAGACCTGGAGGTGGGGCTCGTTGGCGAGCGCCTGGTGGCCGGGCCTACACCCATGGGGCCCGGCCGGGCTCAGCCCGAAAAGGCAACGTGGGTCCCCCTTCTCATGGGCTCACCACCCACGGGAGGGGCCAAAGGGGTCAGGTGCAGTGTGAGCTGGGCGGCAGCCAAAGGCGGGGGCCCTGGCGGTCCGATCCTCGGCTACAAAAGCTAGCTCTGGGGACGTGGAATGTCACCTCTCTTGCAGGGAAGGAACCTGAGCTGGTGTGTGAGGTAGAGAAGTTCCGACTGGATATAGTCGGACTTGCCTCCACACACAGCCTGGGTTCTGGTACCAGTTCTCTCGAGAGGGGTTGGACTCTCTTCCACTCTGGAGTTGCCCACGGTGAGAGGCGTAGAGCAGGTGTGGGCATACTCATTGCCCCCCGGCTCAGTGCCTGTACATTGAGGTTCACACCGGTAGACGAGAGGGTTGTTTTGGACACCCGGGTGACGAGAGGGGCGGAGCTGTCAACTGATCACCAACTGGTGCTGAGTAGGCTCCGATGGTAGGGGAAGATACCGGTTCGACCTGGCAGATCCAAACGTGTTTGTGAGGCTTTGTTGGGAGCGCTTAGTGCTGTCAAGCGATTAACCCATGTGCTGCAGTCGATCTAAATAAGTTTATATAACGCAACATACAATTTTACAAAAATTGTAAAAGTATTATTCCTGAATATTTATTTCACTTTCAACCACTCGACATGTTCAGTGGCATCAGTGCTATACATACACATATAGTTCTTATTTTTTTCTTTGTATTTTTGCCCTCTATGGACAATAAAAGCGGTATTGTGCTATGACCAAAACATAAATATAAATCTATATAAATAAAACATGAATTGGAATATTTCATATCACACACTTTTTATGCTGTGTCTTTGATTTAAAGATGACGTGATGAAGAATACGCAAAAATCTACAAAAATTATAGAAATTGTAACATATGGGGTAACCCATGTGTTACAAACATCGTAGAAATTGCAGCACAAGGGTTACAAAAATGGTGAGATTAATTAATTATGCTCTGTAATTAATTGATCTAATTCATCTATATTTTAATCTCATCTAAAAATTGCTGAGAAAACCTCTATTTTCGTTTTAAATTCATTACATTATTGAGCATTGAAGCAGATCAAAACATTCACATCACAAAAAAGTGGTATCAGAAAGGATGTTATTGTTTTTAAACAGACTTGAACAGATGCAGTCCAAGCCATTTACTTTCTGTTGTATTTGAGATTAATCCCAAATCCTACCTGCACCCTTTAGTTTCGACCACCAGGGGGAATATCAATGTTTTTGTAAATCTCCAAATAATTACAAAATAAAAAGAGAACACCAGGTCCATATAAAGTGCTTGGGTTAACATAAACAGTAAGAACACTTTACTGAACACGGAACTTGCTTCAGATAATAAATAAAACAGACGCTTAAAGCACAGTGCTGTAAGTTAGCGCTTCAGAAATAACACTGTTCCATCATGACAAAATAAAGTGCTGAAATCAACATCATCCACTTTTAATAGGCTACAGAGGACATAGCAGCTATGCTGACTTCATGCCTTGTACGCGGGGTGTTCTCCTTGAGTTTAGTTTGCCAAAGAGCTTTTCTATGGCTCCCTCTATTGCTAACCCTTTCGGTGCTAGCGTTCGCCGTGGCTGCTCTCGCGACTGGGTGCTTTGCATTGATGTAGGAGGCTAAACTTAAGATGCTTCGGTGGTAAGCAAACTCCTTATAAATTAGGCACAAGACTCTACCTTTATCAATAGTGCTGTCAGGGCGTTTTTGGAATGTAATTTGTCCATTCATTGTGCCGAGAACTCTCACATGCTCCTCCATTTTCACCACTCCTCTCCTCACCGCTGTTTACTTAGCCCACCCAATTCCAATGGTAGCCAATCAGCTTACGCTAAACAAGCCCAAACATAATGACAGCCAATCGATGTCCGCTTCAGGCCGTGACTGACAGTTGTTTCCCCACCCTCAACAACTCGAACAAAAGGAAGCCAACACATAAAAAGGGATATTAGGAAAAGGCAACCTACCTACAGAAACAATTTAAAGTTCGAGATTAAAATTTATTCCTGAACGCCTCCCTGGTGAGGTGATCCGGGCATGTCCCACCGGCAGGGGGCCCCGGGGACGACCCAGGACACGCTGGAGAGACTATGTCACCCAGCTGGCCTGGGAACGCCTCGGGATCGAGTTGGAAGAAGTGGCTGGGGAGAGGGAAGTCTGGCCTTCCCTGCTGAAGCTGCTGCCCCCGCGACCCGACCCCGGATAAGCGGTAGAAAATGGATGGATGGATAGAAGTAAATCCGGGTACTGTTGTAGTCTTTGTCTCAAATATGTAAATTATCAATACTGTGTACATATTTTAGCCATGCTGGTATCCACATACACTTACACAAAAATTCCTGGGGGTGGGGGGTCAGGCCTTCCCGGTTTTTAACTTATCGCGGCAGGGTCCCGGTCCCCATTAACCCCGATAAGTGAGGTAACACTGTACACCAGCCTTCCTCAACTGGCGGACCGCGATCCACGACCGGACCGCCGACCTCCTCTGTCCGGACCACCTCTGTTCGGACCCTCGGCAAATTGTATAAAATAATAAATTATAAAGTGATTTTTACGTTATACATTTTATATTTGTGGACTATAATCTGCGCATTACCGCGATCGCTTGTTA